AGGTGCCACCTCCCCGTGTGCCCCCCATGCCCGCTGGAGGTCTGTGGGGTGCCGGCACCGCACGCACACCATATTTTACCAGCACGATTTCCTCCTTTGGCATCAGTGACAGGAGCGAGGGCGGAGATGGGGGGAGCCCGGGGGAGACACGAATGTGTGACTGCAGCATCCTCACTCTCACGGCTGCATCCCTCGCGCCTCCTCATGGTTGCCTTAGCAACCTCCTATCGATGGGGTATTTATAGAGGAGGCGAACGAACGTGTGTTGGGAAGCCGGAGGGGGGGACCGGGACTGGGTGGGCGTCTGCTAGGTCAGCCTCCAGCTTCAGGCTTCTCTCAGCTTGTGTGGCTGTGTGGAGGCAGGAGGGATGATGCTTGCTTTGGCGTCAGCGCATGTGGTGGTCCAGCTTTTCGTACTCATCAGAGCCGGGGGAGGTGGTTAGGAATTTGTGTGTGGAAATAAAAATAAGCATCTGGGATGTCTGCCCTTCTCACAGGCATTGCTTGTGCTTGTAGACTTATTGTTGTGCTGGAATAAACCATCTCTGAGCTCTGATGCTGTGAGCATTGGCACAGATACTTGTGAAAAAGTTAAAGATAAAATCTTCCTGATGCAGTAAATGTGTTGCCTGATGTATGACTTGGGTTATGGAGCTGGGGGTACTGACAAATTGGTCTTCAATATCCTTATTTCTGTGTCTCTGTTCTCCTGTCTATCAACGGGGGAGAATGCCTGTAACAACAAGTGATGCAGAGGTTTTGTCTGGAAACTGTGGCAAGACTTCCGTGTTGTGTGTTCTTTTATCCTGTAGGCTTGGGTCTCTTCATAAAAATTGATGAAAACAAAAGCAGGGCAGGTAGTCCCTGCTTAGAGCTGAAGCAGCCCATGGGGGAATGCACAGATCTGGAGGCCTCTCAGTTACTCTCACATCCCCCAGAACAGCTCAGAGAAGCGGGGTTGGGTGCTCAGTTTCTCGAGAAAAGGCCTCATGGTGTGGGCTGTGGGGTGTAGGAGGCAGCAGACCCCTCCTGTGCAGTTCTGGTACTCTGCTGCTTTCACTCACTCCTGCTTTCACTCCCGACTGAGGTTTGCAATCTGAGTTTTGCAAACTGTTGGAAAAGAACTACCTCTGGAGACAGCTCCAGGTTTGCTTGGCCCCTTGCCACTTTTGATGCAGGAACCTCAGAAACCACAGCAAACCTGATGTTGGCAGGGAGTGGTGCTAGATTTACTAAGAAAGGTGGCTGCTGGTGAGGTGTGGCAGTACTTGCTCTGGTGGTGTCCATCAGCCCTTCTGTGTGTCTGGATGCCTGCCTTTTATGTGAAATGAGAAATGCATTTCTAGCCCCACTGACCCCGTGAATGGCCCCATGCTGTCCTTGACCTCACTCCAGCTGAGCGGATTCAAGATAACTCCGAATATCTGAAGTCCTGGACCTAAGATCAGCAGCATGTGGTTGAGTTCATGCTGTTTCTAACCACTTTTGCTCCTTCATCCACAATAAATCCCTGCAGGAGGTGGTTAGTCCTGTCTCCTCTGTCTCCTGACAGAGTTGTGGCTCTGCCACAGCAAGGTGTCAAACAAGGTGAGAGGAGATGAGTTTGCCCAGGATAGTCTGATCGGTGGGGCATCGAGCACAAGGAGAAGACAAAGCATGAAAAACAAGGGAGTGAAGCTGCTCCTGTGAGCAAAGAATCATATACTCTGCTTCTGCAGGGATGTTTCACTCTTGTGGGGTTTCATTTAGTTTAGTTTTGCTTTTGAAGCACAAAAGGTGCTTTTCCAGCTGGAGAGCTGTTGCCCTGGGTGTACAGGGAGCTCTGTCACTCTTGCTGCTGCCCTTTGCTTGGCCCAGCAACCTTTAGGAGATGCGTATTCTTTTTTTTCCTGTAGTTGGCTGTATTGCAGCAGAGAAAACAGCATGGCCCTGTTTATTGCAGATTGTGGGTAGGAGTTGCAGAAACTATAACTGTCAGGACTGTGAAGTTGGTCTAAAACAGGATGACTGCTTTACCCGTATCTGTCAATCACTTCTGGAAGGAAGCACCAGGCTGCTCCCAGCAGCTTCTGACATGCAGGTCATCTTGTCTGCTGATGAGATATGCGGACTCTCCTTCATCCAGTTCTTTCTTTCCTGCTTCGCTTGTTTGCAGCCCTCTGGGCTTCTTGGGCAGGGCCCTGGCCCTCCCTGGGCTGATGCAGCACAAGTACAGCAGAGACCTGTCCCGGGCTCTCAGAGAGCCGAGGGTGCCCTGAACCCCTCTGGTCCCTCCAGCCATGCCATGAATTGGGAGGCAGTGTGAATCCTTGGCTCTCTGAAGAGGCACTGCTTGGCTGGGAACAGTTGTGGGTCCACCAGACAGCACCCTCCTTTCTGCATGATTCTGACTCTGGGTTATGGAGGTCTTGGGCTTCAGGGGGTGACATATAGGCTATCAGTGACTCTCCTGTTTTCTTCCCTGCAGGTAGGCAGGAGCCTCCCGTAGCCGAGTGAGGCAGCATGGCAAGTAAGTGTTCCCCAGTCAAGACGGAGAGGTGGTGGTGGTGCTGGAGGAGAGGAGGGGGATGTTGGGCAGCCACCTTGCAAGGAAGGGGTGCCTGTGCTTTTTGGGCTGCTATCTCTGGATGAGGTCTGAGGTTGGGCCTGACATGTGCTCCTCTCTCCCCTGTGGAAGGTGGGAGGCAAGAGGAGGTGCTGAAGGGCTGACCTCTCTGGGACTCCCCATATGCTGCAGCATTTATTGGTGTGATGCTGTGCAAGGCAGGCATCCCTCAGGCTCTTTGGAGTGACTGGCCCCTCTTGGGGGGTTACCAGTCTGCGCTGACATCTCCTAACTACAGCGCTCCTCACGGCCTGTGACTTGGATCCCACGAGCTGCCCATCCTGGGGGCCGCACTGCCCTGTAGCCTGCGTGGCCAGCGGCACTGGGGCTCTGCATTCCCAGTGGACGGGCAGCTGCTCAGCCCTGCCGGGAGCGTGCTGTGTCTTGGCATCTGAAAGAGTGCCTGGCAGACAGGGCTGCTTGGGACCAGTGGCTGAAGCAGGGCTGAGACTGGCAAGGGTGCAGGGTAGAGGATGGCATGTGGTCTGTAAACAGCTGGACTCAACCCTCCCTCCTCTTCCGGGCAGCCTGCGCGGGGGCTGCATGCAGCGAAGCGATGGGAGCTTGAGGAGGACGGCGGTTGTGAATGGGCAGATGTAGAGATCTGACTGGGATCTTGGGATTTGCTTGGGGTGTTGCCGGAGCCAGCTATGAAGGTGGAAGCAGTAGCTACGCTGGGCAGGAGGAGGACCCCAGGGATGACAGGTATGCCTTCTTTCATTATCTGTGCTGTGCTAGGTGGGGGAGGGAGCAGAGATCTTCAGGCAGTGTTTTTAAAAGGCAGTTTTAATCTTCTGTTAAGGAGGAGGGTACACAGGCAGGTCCCTGCAATTCTCCACTGCTGCCTTTTTCTCCCTCCCAGAGCTGAGGTGCTGGCTTGCCAGCACTTACTGGTTGTGGGAGGTATCCTTTGTGGTGGCAGGGTCCCCTGCCAAGCAGTACCCTTTGTGTGACCCTGACGGGCAGGAGGGAGATGTGGTGGTCAGCATGTTCACCATCATGCGCTCCCTGGCAGCATGCAGCCCTGGCTGCTCCTCTGCAGAGATGGCTGCATGTCGTTCTGCAGAGGAGCAGCTCCGGGCGCAGCAGAGCTGTGGGGTAGTGCTGTGGCTAAGCCTCTCTGCCACCAGGGGCCAGCAGCACCTCAGGAAACCTAGCAGGGATGCCCTGAACCCAGCCCTTGCTCTTGCTCCCCCTGCCTAAAGCTCTAATCTTTCCTGAGCACCGGTTCTCCAGCTGGTGTGGGGAGGCTTGGAGAGGCACAAGGGGTCAGTCCTGAGGCTGCTGGGCCTTGAGAAGTGCCCTCTGCCCTGTGGTTTGGGGACAGTACCTGCTGAGCTGACTGCTCTTCGTGTCCGTTGGGGATCCAGGCTGGAGATGAGAGCTGGCAAGTCTCTTGTTTCCACGAGGTCCCCAGGCACGTGGGAGTTCTTTGCACTTTCTGTGTAAAAGATGGGAGAGAGCAGTGACTGAGTTTCTGGTCTTCTGCCATTTCTAGGTATCTGAGGGAAATTGGATGTGGTGAGAGGCACACACCTCCATCACAGCATACTTTCAGTTGGGACATTGCTCGTGATACCTGCCTGCCTGTGTGTCTGTTTTTATTTGCCATCACAGTGGCCAGTTCAGCATGGCAAAGCAGGGAAGGGGTCAAGTGACTGGTGTCTGCAGGGATGGAAGACCCTGACAGTGAGAGCTGCGTCCAAGCTTGTTGCTCCAAGGTGTGCTGAGGAAGTTGGAAAGAAGCTCAGACTCAAGTGCTGAGGAGGGGAGAGTTGATACTGCAGCCTGATCAAGGTGGGAGGCAAAGGAGGTGAGGCCAGACTTCTCCAGCAAAGGATGGGACATTTTCGTAATGGACAGTGTCTTTGTAAAGTTTAATCTCACTCTGGAAAGGCTCAAGAGAAGGCTGTCCTGCTAACCTGCTCCCTCTCCAGCCAGGATAGACTTCCTCAACTACGAAAGCCAAGCCAAGCTGGTCTCTGCCCTCCTGTGAGATGCCTTCTGTGCCTCTTGAAAATGCTTTTTCGGTTGTCCTTGTTTAAAAACAAAAAAAAAAAAAAGTTTGCATAATAAAGTCAGTTCTGAGGGGAAGTCTGTGACTCACATCATTCATGCTGCTCTTCATTCACACCTCAGTTGTTCAGCCCTCTACGAACTCTCTTGCTGAAGCAAGCCATTAATAAATCACTGGGGTAAAATGCACCTGCACAGCACAAAAAGAGCACAGTGCCTCCGAGCATGGGATGATGTAGCACAGTAGTAGCTGCTTACACCACGATCTTGTCCCTGTCTTGACACTTACAAATGCTCTTACAAATACCTTGCTGTATTGTTTTAGGAGCAAGATACATGGAAGGTAAAGCAGAAGGAAATCTGCTGGTCTCTGTAGTAAAAAGCTCCTAATGAAAGAAGTTGGTAGCTTTTCACTGAATTACATTTGATCTTCCCCAAGCTCCATATTGAAGGAATATCTCTGTGTTACATTCAAGCTGGTCTAATGGGAGACTTCAGCTGTCTCCTTGCCTCCTTGTCCTGCAGCTGTAGAGGTTGCTGCAGTGAGTTGGTTCGTCTGGTTGATCCAGTGGAAGACTGAACCTGAGGGTAAAGGAGGTGAATAGGTTTCTGCAGATCAGCCAGCTGAACCAATTGATCTTCCTCAAGGGAAGCAGCGTAATTGTGTGGCTTTGTGGGAAGAGATGGTGCCAGCCTACAGCTGAGTGTTGAGCTGCATTACAGAAACACCCTCTTATGAAATGTGTGTATGGGATGTTTGGATCTTGGAAGGGTCATGGTTTGTGTGGCTTCTGCTTCCTGGGCAACAACTAGTTTGCTGCTTCTGTGCTGCTGCAGGTCCTTGTAGGGACATGGTAGGTCCCTGGGGTGCAGGTTCTGTGCTCCCTGCACCCCATGGAGGTCTCCCTCCTGCAGAATGTGAGGGGAGAGGCTTTGAAAGGGCTATGTCTCCTGCAGGCAGGAAAGTGCTCTTCCTGCTCAGTCTGGCTTCCTGATTGCATGCTCTGCATGTGTAACAGTCTCCCAGGATTTGGGAGCAGAAGGTTTGTGAGGCATCTGCACAGTAGGGATGAGAGTGTGATGCACAACGCACTCTGTGTTGTGAGTCTGTCTCAGTGCTGGCCCAGCGTCTTGGCACAGAGGTCTCTGCTCCCAAGCCCTGCGGGATCTTGCTTGCCCGGTGGGATCTCCCTTGCCCTGCAGCGAAGGGGCAGCAAGGTGAAATCCTGTCAAGGGCTGGAGGTTGAAAACAAGTCTTTATGGAGCCTTCTGTCTTTTCTGCAGCTGCCCTGTGTGGTCTGCAGCTGCTGCTTCCCATGTCTCTAGCATCTCAGCCCTGCTGGAAGGATGCTCCTGATGTCGCATGTCTCCAAGCAGACCCCAAGAGCCTGCGCCCCTCTGGGTGTGCCTCAAGGGGCACGCTGCTGTGCTAACTGAATTGTAGCCCTGGGCTTTTGGTGTTTGGGATGCCTGTATCACCAAAATCCTGTGGGAAGTTAGGTGGGAAAGTGTGATGTTGTCCCTGCTCAGCATGTCTCTGCCTTGTGTGTTGCAGTGTTCTTGGAGGCCAGGAATCCCTGAAGCTCTTTCCCGGAGCCAATGGCTTCCTGGAGGAGATCCGGCAGGGCACCATCGAGCGGGAGTGCATCGAGGAGGTCTGCAGCTATGAGGAGGTCAAGGAAGTGTTTGAGAACAAGGAGAAGACGGTGCGTTTGTCCTGCCCTGCTCCCCAGTGGATGTATGAGGGCTTACACCTTAGCAAGCTGGGGGCAGAGAAGGAAACCACAGGGGGAACAGCCTCCCCTGTTCTCTTTGTCCTCTTCTGTCTGCAGGCAGCATGCTGTGGCCTTGCTCCCCAGCATGTCCTTCCCTTCCCAGTTAATGCCCTCACCTTGGCATTGCTAGGACACCCTGCCCACAGCTGCAGGTCAAGCAGGCACTCCCATGGCATGTGTGGGAAATTTGTGCTGTTGTCCCTGTGACTGCCCAGGCTGGGGTTGGTGTTAGCTAGATTTCTCTCTTCTTGGTGCGGGGGCTGTTGGCTGCTGTTGAAGGATGTTACCTTGATCTTTTGTGCTGGTTCCTGCAGCACCTCAAGTGCTGGCAGCCCTGGTGAGGGTTGTGGGGGACCGCCAAAAAACTGCTTCTTTTGTGGGCCTAGGGAGGGCAGTGATTATTGCAGGTAGTGGTCTGGGAGTGCTTGTCCCACCTCCAGCACGTGACGGTTGCTTCTCTGTTCCTGACACAGATGGAGTTTTGGAAGGGCTATACCAACTCTGTCTACTCAGTCAAGGACCCCGGGCACAGCACGGAGCGCTCAGACGCTATGTATGTGGTGGTGCCCCTCTTGGGAGTGGCTCTTCTGATAGTCATCGCCCTCTTCATCATCTGGAGGTGCCAGCTTCAAAAGGCCCCCCGCCCCCGCCCTTCCTATGCCCAGAACCGTTACCTGGCCAGCCGAACGGGACGCAGTCTCCCCAGGGTCATGGTGTACCGGGAGCGGTCGCAAAGCCAAGGGGAAACACAGTATCAGCGGGAAGCAAGCAACCGGGTGGCTGGAGACAGCAGAGCTGGGGGCACCCCCCAGCAAGATGGCCCCCTCTACCCGCCGGAGCATTCGGTCTCTGTCCTCTCCAGACTGTCCAGTGCCACCCCCCCACCTTCCTACGAGGAGGTGACGGGCCACCCGGAGAGCAGCAGCGGTGAAGAGACCAGCGTCTCCTACAATGACCCGCCGCCCAAGTATGAAGAGATTGTTGCCACTGCCCCTGTCACGGGCAAATAGCGAGTCTGCCTCCCTCCTGCCTTGTCACATACTCACACTCCCCCCCCCACCCACCCTCCCTTCGCCGTGCCTGGGACCCCCTTTGGGTGCTAGTCGGCACTCTGTCTCACCTACACAAGCTGGTGCCATCACACAATAGCCTTACCCACCTAACCAAAAATAGCTGTCCCCAAGTGGGGTGGGGCTGTGCTGCAGTGATGGCTCTGGAGCCAGCCAGCCCTCTCCTGCCCCTCACTCCCTGCTCACATAAGTGCTGTAGCAGCCAGAGCACAGCAGCAGCTTGTTCCTGGCTCAACGCAGGGGTCTCCCCATGGTGCATTTGATTTCCTCACTTCCCCCTCGAATAGACATAACATTCCCATGATTAAAACAGCCTTGCTGCCTCCCTGGGGTGCTGCTCAGCATTACCCCATGTCCTCATCAGGCCCCATTTTGTTGCTCAGGGCTCTGATTAGGAGTTGGGGAATGCGGAAAGGGTGCAGTGAATTTCTGTCCCTCCCCACAGTGTCTATGCTGTGTGTTTGGGGAGAAAGTGCCTCCCTTGTGTGGATTTGCTGCCAGGTGGGAGTGGGGAGCCTGGTCCATCCTGCGGTGCCTGTAGCGGTATTTGCTGTCCAGAGATCAGGCAGGAGCAGTCAGGGAAGTGCTCCCTGATCACCTTGGAATGGGGGAAAGCTCGGGGTGGTCTTGTACGTGAGGTAAGTGACTTTGGAATAGCAGGTCCTTTTCCTGTTGCTCTCTGCTCTCTCCCTGCAGGGTGCTGGGCAGCTGGAGGTCTGGCTGTGGTGGAACGGGCTGATAGGGTCATCTCTGACCTTGAGCCAAATGGGGTCCCATGGCTCTAAGTGGTGGGGATGCTCCTTCCTGGAGCGTGGCCTGTCTGGTGTCTGCCCCACAGGTGAGATGCTGGCACAGGGAGACTGTAGACAGGCCAAACCTCCCCTCTCCCTACCCCAAACCTCTCTGTCCTGCCTGGACCCTCCCTTTGGGGCTCCTTGTCCTCCAGAGCAGGTAAAGGGGAATGCGAGACCCCACTCTTCTCCATCCCCCTCTGGTGGGCAGAGTGCTTGGTGGCCACAGCCGTGGCGTGGAGGGCCTGCTGGCGGAGGCAGCTACAGAGGTGAGAGCTGACTGATCATGCCATGACCCGGTGATGCCAGTGGGTTGGGAGTCGGGCCAAACCCTGTTGTGCCTGACCACCAGGTCGTCGTGGTGCCAGGGCAGGGCAGAGCCAGTTGCTTTGCTGTGGGACCAGTGTGTCCCCTTTTCCTGGGCAGCTGTTTTTGGGGTCCAAGCAATGGGGCTGTCCTTTCCCAGTCATGTCTGATGGGTTAAAAAGGGGGTTGTGCTCACCAACCCCCCAGGAGTAGCCCAGAAACTCATAGCAATGCCACACGTCAGTGTTCACCCCAGCACCAGTCTCTTCACCAGCACTGAAAGGCTATTGTACATCCGTCGGCTGCCTGCACCCCACTGGGCCCTAGCGATGCTCTCATAGGAGGTGCTCTCAGCCCAGAGCTGAGGCTTGCCCAGTGTTGGCCGTTCCTGGGGCAGGACATGTGGGGTTTGCAGCGGCTGGCACCTTGTCTGTCCACTCCCAGGCCTTTACTCTGCCTTTCGGCCGTAGCAAGTCCGGGTTAAGGGAAAACCTGACAGCGACCATCAGGGTCAGAGCCTGGAAAAAACAGAGGGGGGACAGAAGGGTGATCCGCATCTTCTGTCTTTGATGCTCGGTCATTAACCCTGCACTTTGTATTCTGTAAAACTTGTTATATTTCTGTGCAAAAAACCCGGTATTTATTAAAAAATCCTCACTGTCTGAATGGCACAGGGTGGCTTTGTCCCACAGCGGGGATGCCTCCCTGGGCCCCGTTGGATTTCTGTCTTGTGGAGGTGCTCTGTGGGGTGATGAAGGCAGCTGTGGGATGATGGCACCAATAGGCCCCCCGGGCATGGCTGCAGCACAGTCCTCAGTGAGGAGGGGACCATCTCTGGAGACTGTGTGCTGCTGTGGTGCTGGAACAAACCCCACACATCGGAGAGGAGCCTTTGGCTTCCCTCAGCATATGGTGCAACGCCTGGTGAGAGCTGGAGTGTGTTCTGTGAGCCCTGACCAGTCGGAAGGTGAAGTGCAGAGGGATTTCCTAAGGTCTTTGAAGGGATTTAGGTGCACAAGTTGTCTTGCTGTTCCTCTGTGTGCTCCTAAACCTCTTAGATAATCCCCTTTAAATAGCAAGATGAGGGCAGCGTGGGATTTATTTTAAGCCCTTTCAAAACCAGATTTTACGGTCAGGTCTTGGACTCTGTCCCCATTCAGAAGTGTTTAAAACTGTCGTTCACCCCAAACAGATCGTTTTATCGCTGTGGACTCCACTGAGAGCCAGGAGAGATTAGTTCTGGCAGCTGGGCGCTTGGATGGCTGCCACCATCGCATGATGGCATGGGACCGTGCTGTGGCGGGGACTGCCACGGGCAGCGGCGCTGGGGTCCCGAGAAGAGACAGGCTGAGCCCCCACCCTGAAGCGTGGGTCTGCCTGCAAATACCCCTGGGCTGCGTGTGCGTGGGGACGGGGGAGGACTTGGTGAAGCTCCTGGATTTGCTCTTGTCCCCGGTGTTGTCCCTGGCAAGACCAATCCTTTCGATCCGGCAACTGCCCACCTTCGCCATCAGTGCTGGCAGA